CTCTCTCTCTCTCTCTCTCTCTCTCTCTCTCTCTCTCTCTCTCTCTCTCTCTCTCTCTCTCTCATGGCAGGGACTGCGAGAAGCCTATGGATGAAAATGGTTCGAACAAGGAATCTACAAGGTGGTCCATTTATGGGACGAAGAGCGGAAGGATTGGTGCCCCTATGGTGAAATGGTGGAGATCCTGGATGGGTGGATGAGCAGGAGGCAAAGGGTGGGAGAACTGAGGGAGGTCACCCCCCCCCCAGGTGGATTGAGTTGTTGAGAAAAGACGAAATCACACCTGGGGAATGGGTGAGGATAAGGGGAATCAGGAGACTGGAGAGGGTTTATAGGGTGGAACAGGTCTTGGCAGAAGGGGAGCTAGAATCACACCGGGCAGAGGGGTTGGGGGAGCCCGTGTGGGAGGGCAACATGCAAGGGAGGCGCTTCCAGAAAAAGCTAGCATGGAGCTTGGTGGTATGGTGGTGGTGTGTGAAGGACGTCACAGGGGAGAAGGGCAATATCTACCATTTCGAGTGGCATGCCAGAGGTGGGACCTGATGTTGGACCCGGCGGAGTGGGAATGCAGAGGAAAACGGTGCCCATCCAGGAACTGACCACAGAGAATATCTACAACTCGCGGCCGGAACCTGTAGATGTCTGTGGGCAACTGAGAGACGGGTGGGCTAAGAGGGACTGGCTCCTGGACGTGTAGTTCAACAAGCGGACGCAGCGGAGATGGAATGTGCAATGTACCATCCTGGCATCCCTACCAGATCAGAAGCAGGCGGGCTGTTATGGCAAATCTATCACCTGGCCATTCCTACAGCAGAGGTGGTTAGCGACTAAGAGTCGACACAAGGACCAGACATTGGCAGCAGGCTGCAGACAATTCAAGACTGTTCCTCGTCTTTTCGTATGATGCCCGATAGTCTGGGCCTTCTGGGAACGGTGAGTGCAAGAAATTGCAGAAAGACACTGCTAGATATCGCAGAGGCAGGCAGAAAGACACCTCTAGACATCACAGAGGCAGATGATGCAGCAATTCTGTTAGGAACCTTGATGAAGTCGACAGACCGACCGAAAATTGAGGAGCTGATAGCAACGAAGATCATAGGCGTGGCAGTACTGTGGGCCTTGTGGACCCTGCGGAATGACCGAAGCAGGCAGGGAGCATCCCCACCATTGCAGGCCTATGAGGAAAGAGTATTGGAGAACATCAGAGTGGCCTTCCTGGCGGACCTTCATCGCTGTAGATATAGAGGGGGACAGAAGGAGGAAGGTCTCTTTGAAAGATGGGACCCTTACCCACATCCGGTGATCCGGGACCCCCAGACGGGCCAGATGGGGTTCGGGCCCATCTTGCTGCGCCATGCACCCCCCCCAGAAGCGGGCCCCGTAAGTGGATACGAATTCAGAGTTCTATGGGTGGCAACTGAGGTGTACTATATTCAGGCGGCATGTTAGGATGTGTGTAGGGCGTACATGTACCATAATGGTTGGATAGGCGGCAGGGGGGGGGGGTAGATGTTTAGCAAAGAGGATAGGGTGGTCATAGGTAGGGATGAGCTTTATGCAGGGCCTAGGGGAAAGGGGGAGGAGGGGAAGACCGAAAAGGGGGCTAATAACCTCGTAAAAAGCTCTTAAAAAAGCGCAAAGCATAAACCACAAAACATAAAAACTGGAAAAGGGAGAATAGAGAATAGAGAAGAGGAAGAGGAGACTACTGAGAAGGGGGATTGGATGGAGATAAGGTGTAAATATAGGGAACACTATACAGAATTTAAGGTAGAAGGCTCGCTGGACCAGAGAAGGTAGTAGGCTTGTCGGATCATTGACAAGTCATAAATAGAAGTCGAGTAGTTTGCACATGGAAAGGGTAAATGGCATCTGGAACGCTTGGGAGGGTGGGAATACGAAACAGAGCATTAGGAAGTATGCAGTAAGGATTTGGAGATGCTGAGACAGTGATAAGCGGCCCGAGAGACTGCTACGAACACTCCCCCCCATGCCCCGCTCTTCTTGGGATCCCCCTGCTGCATGCCTGGGTGCTGCCAGTAAGCTTCCTAAGCTTATCAGCAGGGGAACCCCCCCTTGAAGAAGAGCTATGGCTTGGGGAGGGGGGCGTCTCGTAGCAGCCCC